GGCCCCTATGTCTTCCAGCAGCCTAAACATATAGAAGCATAAATACATAAAATAGCTCAGGTTAACCTAACTATTTTGAATGAGGTATAAAAAAGGTAGAACCAAGGAGAAAAGTCATTCTGTACTAAATTCTTCCCCGTCGTATCAGGCGGTTCATTCTATCTATCTCCTGCTACTTCTCCATTCGTGCAGCGACTAAGCAAACATCTGTTTTTAACTATAAGCTTTATGAAAAATTTAAGTTTTAACCCTGATCTTAAAAGTAAGCATGCTGTTTGCCTCAGAAGCAAGAACTGGTAGTTGGTTCCACAGCAGAGGAGCCTGATAACTAAAATATCTGCCTCCCATTCTACTTTAAGAAATTCTAGAAACCACTAGTGAACCTGCAGATTGAAAGCAAAGTGCTCTGTTAGCTACATAGGGTTCAATTAGATCTCTGATAAAAGACAGAGTTTGGTTATTTAGGACTTTACATGTGAGAAAGAGTAACATCAAATTTCTCATTATCTATAAATTAAATTTGGGTCTAAAATTTCAGAGTAATTATTATTTAAGATATCTCCCCCAGAACTTTAATCTGTAAAAACAATGGAACATTGAGCATTGTTTTAAAAAGAAAATAGAAAAAAAAACACCAAAGTTCATTATTACGATTTTTTCCTGATTTATTATCATGTATAAAGCAAAGCAATACCTTTTAAGTGCATTGCATTACTATAGCAGTTGGAGAAAAAAAAAAAAAAAAACTGTTAAAAATTGCATTATGTGGTTCAGCCATCTTTTCTGACACCGCAAGAGCAGAGTAAAAAAAAATCATATCTGCTCAAACAAGCAAATTTAATATCTGTTTTAACTTTAGCAAACCCGAAACTGATATTATCAATAACATACAATTTGCACGTATACTCAAATGTTGCATTTAGATTAAATGTTCTTGTTCAATGAGAAGCTAAAACAGTGACAAACTATCTATATTCTACTTTAACAATAGCAAACAAGAACATCCTTTACAAAGAAACAAAATACAGTCAAGAGAGTAACAGAATTGTTTTTTTTTGCTGTTAAAATGGCAAAAAAGGTATATCTGGATTCTCAGTTCATACCTATAAAACACACTATAATTTCCAAACTGAAACATTTTTCCACATATTTTGCCCTTTTTTGGAAGAGGAGCAATAAGTTTCTTTTTTTTAAAGGTTGAAATAAATGTTAAGGAACTGTAAAGTTGTTGCCTATATACATTAGTTAAACAACACCTTTTCTAATGTA